TGAATGCCCAACAGCAGCACAAGTGACTTCAGCTCCCCAGGGAGGTTCGGTGATGACCTCGGGCTACTGCTGCTCAGGTCAGGACAGGTATGTGAGCCTAGGGCTGAGCCTGAAGCCAGCATTGCCATCCCACTCCTGAACTCTAAAGGCATTCTGTGACAATCACCATCCAGGGCTTTCAGCCTGAGACTTTGTATGGTGGCTGCGTTGCAAGCCTCACCCCATCCCTCTCCAGCCCGGTCTCTTCAACCATTAATGGGTCAAGCCCACTGAACCCCACCTTGTACTCCCAGGCATGGACCAGAGGCACCCACACGATGCCAGGTTTGTCTCAGAAGTACGTGGTTGCTTTTCCCTCTGCTGTCCATTTCTTGTCACCAGCAGTGTCCTGGGCTGACTTCTAAATGAGCGCTTCCAAAGAGCAAGGCACCGTGACCCCACAGTCCTCAGAGCACCTCTACAAAGGACCTACACTATCCGTTTTACAGATCCAAGACAGCAGGCAAACCAGTAAAGGAGGCTCGCACCTGGATTCCCACCCAGGTCCAAGCGATTCCGATCCATGCTCCTCCACGAGCTGGTGCAGCCTGCAGCCCACGCTCCTCCTCTGTCACCTTGGCTCAATCACACCTGCCCCATACGTTTGCCATGAGGTTTCGGCTGAGACTCTCTAGAGCACTCAGCACAGGCCTTGGAACACCAAGTGAAAGCTCACTGGTGGTAGCACAGAAGTGGCATCATCTCCTCCACTTTCCTGAAAAATTCCGCTCATTGCTTTGAGAAATTGCAAGAAGGACATGAGGAAACTTGCAATCCCCAGCTCCTGGTCCTCGAGAAGGAAACTGCTCCCCAGCTTCTGAGCCCTCATAGCTTCAACCAGGCAGGTGCTCACTGGTGAGAATCAGGGCAGCACACAGCCTGGAGCATTTGTTCAAGAATTAAAAGTCGGCCCGTATGGCCCTGCTATTAAACTCTCTGTGGGTGAGCCGGGTTAACGGTGAGGCCTCGTGTGATAAGCCATTAATCTCCACGTGTAATGCAAGAGCTGTACAACTTACTTCAGTCCTAATCTCCCATGAGTTACAGCCTCTTCTGTGATTCATAAAACAAATCAATCACACCTCCCAGGCTCTCATCTATTTATTACTGCTTTTTAAATGCTCAGAGAGAGAGAACCTGGAGGGAGTTATTCATCCTTTCCCCAGCTCAACCAACCTCTGCGTGCTGCAGAGAAACAGACTCTATACCCCTCCTCGGGTCACAGGCCAAGGTTGGTTGAATTCAGAGGCTTACAAGGAGCTGGTGATTCGGCATCCTTAGCATCTGGAAGGAGCCTTCCTATTGCTTCCCATAGGGGTTGGGAGCACAATCTGACTGGGTGGCAGGCCTGGTCACCCCCAACTTAAGTCTGGAAGGCTTGTCACGGTGGTAGATTTAAAGCACAGCCACAAATTCGTTGACATTCCCCCACCAAGAGACAGAATGTGGGTGAGCTTGTGACTCTTCCAATCAATAGGGTACGACAGACATAACACCAAATGACTTCCAAGGCTTGCCACGGAAGACCGTGCAGTTTCCATCTTATTCTCTGGAACATCATGCTGCTGTGTCAGGAAACATGCCACAGTAGATATGTGTGCTCCCTGCTGAGTCCAGCATCCAGATATCTGTGCCAAAGCCCCAGATGCATGAGTGAACCCAATTGTGGAATCAGCCACCCCTGCCCCTGCCATTCTAGTCACCTCTAGCCCTTCGAGCCTTCCCAACTGAGATCTCAGAGATCAGGATGCGGAGTCAAGCCATCCTCACTGCGTCCTCTCTGAATTCCCAACCCAGAGTCCCTGGGTACAACGAAATGACTGTTCTCTCTAGCACTAAGTTTGGGGCAGCTTTTATGCAGCCAAAGAACTATCATGGGGAGCATCATGGTAGCTGACCAGAAAGGAAGCGCTCCCTGCATGCCTGCTCTCTGCACATAGTCACTTTGCAGATTGGACTATTTCCATCAGTCTTTACCAAAACCTGACCCGGTGGAGGCTATGGTCCCCCCTTTGCAGAAGAGGAAGCCATGACTCTAAAGGGCAAGTCCATGCAGCAAAGCCATTATCTCCCCCCCGAAAACCCATCCCAACCCCTATGCTGTCCCTCTGCCCACATGAACTGGGAACCAGCTTCACCTGAGATCCCTGAGCACTTCAGCTTGTTTGCCTGACATTTCCAGGACTTTAGCAATTTCTACCTAAATAATCTGTTAACATCGGCCCACTGGTGCTGGATGTGGTGGAACCATGAGGGCTGTAGCTTCTTGACCACAAGTTCAGGAGCTTGACGAGGGCGGACCCTCCACAACAGTTCTCAAACCTAGGGCCCAGAGGCCAGGCTGGCAGTGGGAAGGGCTGGGATGGTAAGGCTCCCTCTGCCAGCCCCGCCCACTGGAGATCATGCACGAGGGGCACCCCAGGGCAGACAGGACCTCACCCTTGGCTCCTTGAGCCCTGGCAATCACAGTGCCCCCTTCTTCCTTCCCGGAACGTGGACTTCATTTCCTAGTCTTCTCACTGGGAAGTTGCTCAAACACAAGTCTTTGCAAAACCAAGGTCCAGCCTCTTGGCCCTACAGTGTACCATCCCCACAAGCAGGGGCTTTGGGTAAAGCACAGGTTGGCCACTCAATGTCCATTCAAAGTGGAAGGGGACACAGCAAGGCGTGAGTGTGGGAAACTGAGGGAGAGATGGTGCTAACTCTAGCCATCAGGTGAATCCCTCGGCCCAGTGTAGACGGCTGCTCCAGATCCCACAGTCCATCCACCACCCTCTCACCCAAGGACCCTTCAAAACCAATGCACCAGATCACATCCTGCCTCCACAGCCCTTCCCCTGATTAAAACCCTCTAATTGTGTTCTCCCACACTGAGGGAGGAAATTCAAACTCCTTCCCTTAGTCCAGCAGACACTCAAGGTTGAGCATGGTCAGAACCACCTGCATCAGTCCTAGAGTTTCCGATTCAGTGGATCTATGCTGTGGCTCACGAACTCACTTTTCTTTCAAGTTCCCAAGCAGCAGCCTTGCTGCCCATCAGAACCCGTCTACAGGATCCAGTATATTTTGTCTTAGGCTCACTTCTTCCAGATATAACTTATTTGCCGTGCCCAAGCCACAGAGACACACACCCGCTCCATGGAGATCTATAAACCCACCAGATGATTTTTCTTTTTCTTTTACCTTCAAAGCCTTCCTGCTCAGAGCGTTCCTCTACCTGGTGCACTCTCCCCAGTCCTGGACCTCTCCTCACCCTCCAGGGTTCTGGTGAGTACCACCTCCTGCTCCTTGCTCCCCACCTGCCTCGGGATGCTCTCACCTTGGCGCCTCCTGTCACAGCTTCCTACCCATCTGCCTCTCAACACCATCCAACATGCAGGGGAAACGTATGGCTCTGCTGATTTGTTGGACTCTCTCTGTGCCCATGTGTGAGAGTTTTCTGTCTCTGCCTTTAAACCATGGGCTCCTTCCAACCAGGTTCTGTCTGAATCACTACCGTAACCCAGCACACAGCTCAGTGTCTGTCTCATAGCAGGTGCTCAGAAGTGTGTGTTGAAGGAGTGCATTGCCTTATGTCATTCTTATAACAACTCTATTAGAAAGGGAGTCTTAAGCCCATTTTACAGACGAGGAAACACAGAGGGGCAAAGACATGTAGTCATGTCCAAGGTCAAATGGCCAGGCATCAAACTGAAGTCTGTGGACTCCAAAAGTCTTAGCCAGCACTCTGCACACATCCCGGTGGGAGAATAAAGGGACAGAGCTGGGGGCAGCAGGTGGAAGGAATGGTCTGAATGCAAAGTGCTGGAGAACAAGAATGGACAAGCAGCACGAGGCTGGCTGAGGAGGCAGGGAGGAAGGTCAGCTGGCACAGCCTCCCCAGGGAGTTCAGCAAGCCTGTCCTCTCAGAGCACTGTGTGTGGGAGGGGCGGGGGGTGCAATCCTGACTTTAGGCATGAAGGCATTTCCACCCCCACCCCCCATTGGACTCTCCTCCCCTGGCCTCCCATTGGTCTGGCAGTAGGTGGAGCAGACCATGGACACTGGGAAGGGGCAAGGTTCGGGGCAAAGGCCCAAGCAGGGCATGAGGTGGGGAGGAGCAGAGCTGACACAGGCTGGGAATGGGGACATGGAGAACATCATCATGGTCTAAACTGGTTCCAGAAACAGAGCTCCACAGTCAAAGGTCTTAAACTCTGTGGCATGGATCTCACAGCCAGCTGTGCGATGACCGCCCTGGTCTCGCTCCAGAGGGCTGTGTTCCCAGAGCCACACCCCCCTTAGGGACTGCAGCCTGGCCTCCTGCCCAGGGCCCTGTGCTGGCTGGGGGAGGTCTCCTGGAGAGCCTGGAAGGAGGTAACCTCCCACCTGGGACCCCTGTTGGGCAGGGCTAGGGAGGGGAGGAGGTGTGATTCCAGCCTCTGTCTCCCCAGTCTGAGTGCCAGGGCACATCTATTAGGAATGGCAGAAATGGAGCACAGGCCATGAGCTTTAGGGAAAAGGAGCTCCCCAGCCAGGGGGCTGGTGGGAGGCAGAGGTGGTAGACAGATGCACAGATAATCCCCACGGCCCCCTGAGAAGATAGACACCCCCAGAAGGCAATGCATCTCTCAGAAGCAGCACAGAGGCCCCCTTTCCTCCTCTATAGACCAATTCAGAAGCCAGGCCAGCTAACAAGGGCCAAGGAGTTCTGGCCTAAAGGCAAAGAGGAGATATGAACAGATGCCATTCATCCGGTGTGTGTGTGTGTGTGTGTGTACGCACGTGCACACATGCACTTGTGTACATGCATACAAGTGTACCTATGTGTGAGTGCGTATTCACAAAACAGGAAGAGAAGGGGAAGTGGACAATGGAGGGCGGGACAAAGAATTGTGCCCAGTTACGATCTGAGCAGATTCCAACAGTGGCCAACAAGGAGCAAAGCCAGCCCAAATCTACCACGAATCAATCCACCGATGTTTATTGAATATAACCAACAGCCAAGTATTGTCTGGGGCACTCGGGACACAGAAGGAAATGGCACAGGCCTGAGGCCTGGGCTTCGAGAAGCTCACGGTGCAGTGGGAAGCACAGGTGACAGGTGCATATCGATGCAACAGTGGAATGGTGAGTTGGGGGGATTACACCAGAGGACTTCTCCAGTCTGGGGCATCAGGGAGGCCTCCCTGAGGAAGCACAATTTGAGGGGACAGCAAGAGAGGGGGAACGTAACCAGGAAAGTGACAGGGGTGCAGGACAAGGGGCCCAAGCCTTTGTGATGAAGAGCAGAGAGCAAGAAAGAACAGGAGGTGGCTTTAGATGAAGCCAAGACAAATTAGAAAGGATCACAAAGAAATAAAAGTAGTAATTATTACTCTACAGCACACACTCAAACTAGTTTAACAAAATGTTGCCTTAATTATATCTACCTTAATGAACAGATAAAAACAGTTTGTAATTAGTTCTGTAATTGGTTATGTGAAAAGAGATGCTTCTTTGAGTTCCAAAGCACGTTGTCTTGTAGACGATTTATGAGAAGATGCTGCCTCCAGTACTGAAGCACATTGTCCGAAAGAGCTGTCCCACTGGGGGTCCTGGAGGCATCTTTTCTGCGTGGGCTCCGCAAAGGTTGGCTTCACCCTAGTCATTCCTAGAATGGGAACAAAAGAGTTAAGAAGAGCTTTGACTGTCGATGTGAGTGACTCCATGTGTAATAGGGAGACACAGAATGGGGCTCAGCTCTCACTTCTGTGCCTCATGAGGACTCCGTATTTTTTTTTTTGCCAGAAGTGGAAATCCTTACTCTTGAGGGCAAAGAATGCTTCTGGGAGCCTCTGTACCCCTATAATTATATTTAAAAGGGTGTATCCACATACTGGACTGTCCATTTTCCTGAGGGAAGGAAACATAAGTTTCAAAAGCCAAAGAAGCACTGCCTTTAAGAAGGAGATCTTTGGGGCACCTGGGTGGCTGGTTGAGCATCAGCCTTTGGCTCAGGTCATGATCCCAGGGTCCTGGGATTGAGTTCCCACTTCGGACTCCCCACAGGGAGTCTGCATCTCCCTCTGCCTATGTCTGTGCCTCTGTGTGTCTTTCATGAATGAATGAATGAATGAATAAATAAATAAATAAATACATAAATAAATCTAGTAGAAGAAGAAGAAGAAGAAGAAGAAGAAGAAGAAGAAGAAGAAGAAGAAGAAGAAGAAGAAAGAAAGAAGAAAGAAGGAGGAGCAGGAGGAGAAGAAGAAGAAAAAGAAGATTGACATTTACAAAACAATTCTTAGGAAGCACTGGGACATGTTGGACCCTTGGACACTGAGATGGAAACCAGATGCAGAACTCAGTCCACAACCTGCCCCTCCAGGGTGGAAAGAAAGGTGGGAAGGGAAGGCACCCTCTCCCAACAGGAGGCTCCTGCTCCTGTTTGCTCCATTAGGACTCAGACTCGCCAAGCCTGCAGGCTGACTACATGCCTTCTCCAAGAGTAAGAAAGAGCCCCTCCCCAGCCACACCCGCAGACATTCCTCCTTGTGGTCTGGCTACCCTACCAAGATGAACTCTGACAACACCACTCTTGCCCCAGTGGACCTACAGTCCTGGGATAGGATTCTGAGACAGCGTCAGTATCACAACAGGGCAACCAATGACTCTGAAATCCACAGATCTATCTTTATCTTCAAGGACCCCAAGTACCCCCTCAAAATGGATGTGCTAAGACCTTAGAAGCCCTGTCTGAACAGAGATCCTCTCCCTGACATAAAAGTGCCTAGTTCTGCACTGTCCAGAGCTAGCTAGCCACAAGTGTCCTTGAAATGTGGCTGGACAAAATTGAGATGTGCTGAATTTTTTTAAAATATAAATTATCTCATTAATAATTTTATATTGATCACAAGCTAAAATGATATTTTTGGATAATAGGGTTAAATAGAATGTATTACTAAAATCAATTTCATCTGTTTCTTTCTTTATAAGATTTTATTTATTTATTCACGAGAGACGCAGAGAGAGGCAGAGACGTAGGCAGAGGGAGAAGCAGGGTCCCAGTGGGAAGCCTAATGCGGGTCTCAATCCCAAGACTCTAGGATCACGACCTGAGCCAAAGGTAGCTCAACCACTGAGCTACCCAGGTGCCCCCTTTTTTTAAATATAGTCTCCAGAAAATCTTAAATCATCTATGTAGCTCACATTAGATTTCCAGTGTATACAGGTCTGGCTTATTATGCTCTGTATGAACATATGCATCTCCCAAAAACCAGGCCAGCTCTATGTAGCCACATCACAGCCTCGTAGACTAAACTGTCTCGGGGCCACCACACTGGATTTTGACACGGGATCGGATAGGGCTCATACCAGTCCCTATGAACTGGTCAGATTCACAGGCCTGAGCTGGCTGCTGCCTGTCCCCAGCTCCAGCCCAACCCTGAACCCTAAGGAATTTTGCAGTCTTGTGCCAAGCTGAAGAAGAGGTGGCCAGCATGCCGTGATGTGCATCTAGTGTGTTGTAGCTAATCGCAAAGAGCAAGGGTCACTCAGGAATGTGATCAGTTTCTGGGTGTGCCCAGGAATGAGGGATTTCCTGGGCAGTGGGACTTACAGTCTTAATAATAGGACAGTTCCAGGCAAACCACAGTGAGCCGGTCACCTGGACCCAGCCTGTGGGACCGAAAGCTAAGGTGCCCCAGAGCAGGCTGACCTTCCCGCCCAGCAGCCAAGCCCTGAGATGTGTAAGAATGAGCAGGGCGCCTGGGTAGCTCAGTCCATTAAGCATCTGACTTCGGCTCAGGTCATGATCTCGGGGTCCTGGAAGTGAACCCCACTTGGGCTCTGTGCTCTCTGGGGAGTCTGTTTGTCCCTTTTTCTCTCCCTCTGTTTATGCTCTATCTCTCTCCCTCTCAAATAAATAAATAAAATCCTTTAAAAAAAAAAAAAAAGGATGAACAGGGCCAGCATAAAATCCCAACTGCTACAGGCCTCACCTACCCGGGCCTCCTCTGAACCAGGTGAGAACCCAAATTCTGTAGCTACATCCACTGTGGAGGAGAAATGCAGGCAGCCATTGGCTATGCTTGGGGATCAGACTCCTCCTGCTAGTCCTCCTCCCAGCTGTCCCCTATGATTGATCAGCAGGCTTCCCAGCACTCCCTGCGGGCAGGGCGAGGGGGGTGGGTTCCGTCTGGCTCCCCACCTGTGCCACAGAGGGGTCTGCGAGGTGAGGCATGGCCCCTCCTCTCCTCCTGTGGGTCGTCAGCCACAGGCTGTGCCTCCACAGGGCATATGGTGGGTGCGTCGGGTCGGCTGAGACCAAGGAGGCTTTCTTGTCTCAAGTTCTATCATCGATCTGATCATGATCATCGATCTCTCATAGTCTCCTTTCAACACATACCAGTGTCCTCCACACTAAGTCATTCGGGGAGGGGTGGGGAGGAGACAGAAACTCACGTGCTTCTCTGCTTCCCTGTGGAGTTGGAGCCCAGTAAGGCTGATATGATATGCAGGTGAGGAGAACAAGCAGGATTTCGTTCATCCAGTCAAATATTCACTGCGCACCTCTCACGTGCCAGGCTTTGGAGCCGTGCTGGAAAGCCCCTGCACCCATGATATTTAGTCTAGCAGGGGAAACAGATGATAATGGACTCATTACCCAAAAATGTCAGATGTGATGAGAGTTATGGAAGGAGAAGACTTGAGCATGATGAGAACATGTATCCAAGATCTAACCCAATCTGGGCAATCATAGAGGACTTCCCTGTGGAGATGACTTATGTGTCAAGACCCAAAAATGGAGCAAAGAGTTCATTTATACTTACCTTGAGGGTAGAGCAGATAGTGAGGTCTGGAGTGAGGTCCAGGGTGGGCCCCATACAAACCCCACAGGGTATGACTTACCTCTTGGCTCACACACTAAGGCCTCAGAGCAGGGTCTAGGCTGTCCCCAGTCAGGATTGCTTCTAGGACCTGGAATGGGAGTCTTTGCAGAAGGAGCCAGGGGCCCAGGCATGGATGAGTAGGAAGTAACCTAGCAAAGAGCACAGAACTTAGGTTAAGCCTTTGGGTTCTAGGGTCCAACCCACCTGAATTTGAAGTTCAGAGTCACCACTCACTATTTTTATGTCACGTCTCTGAGTCTGTTTCCTCATCTGTAAAATGGAGGTAAAATGGTGCCTCCTTCATAAAGTTGAGAGAATTTTAAAAGACAATATGTGGGAAGAGCTTAGTGTGGTGGACACAGTAAGTATTAGATAAAAAGTGAGATTTCCTGCTTCCAATTATGAGCGCTGCAGTGAAAGAAAAAAGATACAACGTGCTGTGGGAACTGACTGCCTCCTATCATTTATCTTACAGTAACAATTATTTAAAAGAAACTCAAACTGGCAACATGCCACATCGTGTCTCCAGGAAGAAATATTGGAACTGAGCCTGGAAGGGTGGATATTTGACTTGCAAGATCAAGGCGAGGTTTGCAGGCAGAGGGGGATGAAGAAAGGCTCAGAGACCAGAATGGGTGGGGCTCGGGCAAGAGCAGGCCCAGAGGAGCTCCGGAGGGGAGAAGGCAGGCCGGCGTGGGAGGACCCGCAAGGCCATGCTCAGAAGCGTTGTTTCCTCCTACAAGCGATGGCCTGGCTCTTGAAGATTTTGGAGCAGGTTAATGATTTAGGTGGGGTTTGTATAGACAGAATGGCAGTTGCCTGAGAAGGACCACCACCAGGCAAAGGAGCAAGGAGGAGGCTGATATAAGCATCTAGAGCAAGAGTCAGCAAATCTTCTCTAAAGGGCCACTCCAGACACCCCCATCACCAGCGTGCTCAGTGCTATTTCTTGGCCCCATGCTTTGGCATACACTAGCCCCTCTGCCTGGAATTCCAACCAACTTACCCTCCAAAATTAACCAAGTCATTCATTCACTCACCTCATACTTATTAAGCACTTAACTCTGTGTCAAGCTCATAATCCTTGTTCTCATGAAATTGATGGTCTAGTGCAAGAGTCAGCAGAATTTTTCTGTAAAGGGCTGGAGAGTAAATATTTCAAGCTTTGAGGGTCAAAATGTCTCTGTCTCAAATAATGGACTCTGCTATTATAAAGCAAAGTTGCCCATAGACACTATGTAAATGAATGAACCTGGTTATGTTTCAATAAAACTTTATTTATATAAACAGGCACCAGGCCAGATTTGGCCTGAGGGCTGATCCGCCCCAACAGAAACATAAGGTGAGCCACAAACATGAGCCATTACATATTTAAATTACACATGGAATTTAAAATTTTCTAGTAGGTGCATTTTAAAAAGGAGACGGGTGAAATTAATTTTACTATATTTTACTCAATCCCATATATATCCAAAATGTTACCATTTCAAATCTGCAATTAATGTAAAAAAAACCATTAAGGAGAATTTTTCCTATTATTTTTTATGCTACATCTTTGAAATCTGGCGTGCATTTTATACTTACAGTGCCTCTTAATTTAGACTCACCACATTTCAACTGCTAATCACTACAAGTGGCTCTGGCCACCATACCTAGTGGAAGGGGGCTCCTGCCTAGGTGGTGACAGGCGAGAGGACAGGAAACTATCTGACATCAACTGAGGGCTTGAATTAATTATGATTTGAATCCAGCTCAGCCACTTGCTTGCTGGCTAATTTCAGACATGGTTCCTCACCAATCTGGGTCTCTTTTAGGCCCAAAGTATCAAGTAGGTGGTTGTCTTCAACCTCTAGGTTCCTGTCAACTCTACTATGTAGAGATTCTAAGATTCAGAGTTTGCCAGAAGCGATCATTCACTTGGAGGTTCTTTGCTAAAAAGCATCTTCCATAATACAATGAGCTTGAGAAGATCAGGGTGAGGTTCTTCGTGGCTACTGCCACCACTCATCTCTACTGGAACTTTGGGGGATGCTTGTCAGCTCTTGAGGAGTTGAGGGGATATAAGGTGGGGAAGGAATAGGAGAACCACCCTCCCCAGCTTCTTGGGGGTGGTGTGCCTCCTGCACACACGTGGAAACACATGCGCAAGCACACGCACAGGATCCTCGCTGCCCCCCTCCCCCAGAGTGACAGCTGTGATCTCTAGCCCATCAGGGAGCAGAACGTGGGAACAGAAATAGACTCCACCTGAGTCAGAGGATGAGTCAGAATGTTCTGGAGAGCTTCAGAAGGGAGCAGCAGGAGGAGCTGATGGTGGGGAAGAGAGCCAGGCCCCCAGGGGAGAGGGAGGAGAATGGGCTGGTTTCCCAGGCATCAAGCCAAGTAAGAATGTCCTAGAAGGAATGGGGTCCACTGCCACAGGCAACTCATGTCCTGATAGAGGGCCTGTACTGGGGGGTGCAGAGTGGAGGGGAGTTAGAAGGACACAGCTTTTGCAGGGCCAAGAAGGAGGTGTGTGGAGGCTACTCTGAGCACACTGGACACCCACAACACCAGCACCTAGCTGCTCTTAATTTCAGACCCTCTCGCCACAATAGAAGCACATCTTGAGGCCTACCCTCCTAAGTGGGTTGCTGACCTACGCTGAACTAGGGAAACTGAGGAAGAGGCAAGACTAGGTATCCTAGTTGACCCAGGCTGGGCTGATAGGGTGGGGCTGCAGCCTCTGGCCGAGGACCTGAGAAACCCACAGGACAGAGGTCCGTGTGGCTCAGCCTAATTCAGGCATATCCTCAACGCTGGGGACCAGCCATGCTGCCACATGGAGACTCAGACGGCTCGCCGAAGAGTCTGATCTAGGTGGCAGCCTAGCAGAACCATGTGAGAGGATGGGGACCAGCAAGTGACAGGCCAGCCTAGCATGACCCGCATCAGGAGCCTGACGCCAGGCCACCATGGAGCCGAGGGGATCGGGTGCAGACACAGCGAGGCTTCTGGGGTGTCCTCACATCATGGTGCCAGGGTTGATTTACCAGCTGGCTGACATGCTCAGGCCTCAGCACAGGGACTGTCCCTGACCGGGACTGGTTCTGGGGCCAGGGAGAGGGGACCGTGAAGGAGTGCAGGGCCCCAGGTACAGGGAGAGGGAGCTGAGGGAGAGGGGTGCCTCCAGCCCATCCCCAATCCACCCATTCTATACTCACTGTGTTCACATCACCACACTGATCTTAGTGTGGGGGTCCCCCAAAAGTAGAGCTTGAGAGAGGGACTTGGGTGCAGGTAATCGATCTGGGAGTTGATCCCAGGAAGCATGAGTGAAAGAACAGGAAGTGGGAGACAGAGAAAGGGCCCAGCTTCCCAAAGGGGACATTACTGAGGCCATTATAGTAGGCAGAGGGGCTTGCGTGCACCAGGGCCTCTGAGCAGAGTGCAGAAGGCCTCCTAGAAGTCCCCATCTGGAAAGCAGGAGGCTTTATCCACCACTTTCCATCTCCTGTGGTTGAAGGGGATGAAGGGGCCCACCAGGAGAATTCATTTCCTGCTACCTTCCTCCCACCCCACCCCAGTAGTTCTGGAGAAAGCCCTGGAGCAGAAGGAGGACAGACTCGAGGTGTCCTGCAGGTGGGGAGGAGGCAGCACTGTCCTGGAATCAAAGGGGACACGGAGGCACCTGCCATGGCCTCCTATGGCTTCCCACTGCACTTCAAATAAGATGCAAACTCCCTGGCACTGTAAGGTCTGGCCCCAGCCCACTCTTCCAGCGTCCTCTGCCCTCACTCACCATGCCAGAGATGTCTACACTTCTTAATAGCCCTACTGGTCTCCTCTTTATGTCCAGAAACAACCACACCTCAAGACTTCGCCCTTATTCTTCTCCCCATGTGAAACCCCATGTGCTCGGTTATATGGTCGACCCCTTCTGGTCTTTCAGGTCCTTCGGCAAAAACACCCCCTCCTTAGAGACACCGGCCCTGACCTCCCAGCCTGAGGTCCGTTCTTCTGCTCCTCTCTCGTGGATCCCAGTGGGGGCGGTGTCAGGAAGAGAGGCACAGTGACACATAGGTAGAGGGTGTTTCCACTCTATGGAGACAACGGGAGCAGATAGTTTCAAGAGCAGAGCTAAGAGTAAAATACTTAAGAAGTGATGCATTTTATTTTTTTAATGTAATTTATTTCATCGTAAATTTTCACACCTTCATTTTTTGTAATGCCTGTGTTTAACCACCAGCTCATCAGACTCCTGAATCTTTAACAGTGGTCTCTCATGAGCTGAGAAGAATCAGCTCCAAAACCACTAGATATCACCCCATTCTTTCCCTCCATGCACATTTTAGGGTGTGTGATTTTTTTTTCTCCTTGCTTTATTCTATTTATGCTGGCCCTCTAACATGTGGGCCCTGTGAGGGTGGAAATCATGACTGATTTATTTTCAGATGTGTCCTCAGAGCCCAGCACAATGCCCAGCCTACGAGAGAAATTCAGGAAATATTTGTGGAAAGAAAGTCTTGAGTGCATGCATGAATAGGTAGGCAAAGTCGATGGATGTCACAGGTTTGGGATTTCTGCTGTGGACAGAAGAGGGACCACTCACCTCAAGAGACCCACACTGAATCCCACAGGGCTTTCTGGGATGCTTCTGACAGGGTGTGAGGAGCAGAACAGTCTCAGAGTTTCCAGGCAGGACAGCCAGGCTGCAGGGAAGAACAGATGACTCTGAAATCACTGCTTGAGGGCTCCTGGGGTCTCCCAGGGATGGACTCCCCTGAGGTCTTCCAGGGATGGACTCCCCTGAGGTCTTCCAGGGATGGGCTCCCCTGAGGTCTTCCAGGAATGGGCTCCCCTGAGGTCTCCCAGGGATGGGCTCCCCTGAGGTCTTCAGGATGGGCTCCCCTGAGGTCTCCCAGGGATGGGCTCCCCTGGGGTCTCCCAAGGATGGGCTCCCCTGGGGTCTCCCAAGGATGGGCTCCCCTGGCACTCCACTCCCTCTCCATAGCTCCCCTGGCCCATGAGTGAGCACAGCTCAGACACATCGGAGCTACCAGAGTTCATCATAGCCCTCCCGGTGGCAGTTTGCAGAGGAGAACTGCACAGGCCTGGTCTGCTCTGATAATTCTGGGATCCCAGCAAGGGATCCTCCTGTGTCAGCTGTACCCTCTGCATAGGGTGGGCAAAGACCCCAGGAGGAACAGCAAAGTCAGAGAGCCTGAGCCCATTGGACGTCTGGCGTGTGGCCCACCTTCTGCCAATGCCATCCCCCGGCCCCACCTGGGACTGCTGCTCAAACACCCAGAAGATACCTGGCTTCACCTATCTGTCTGCAGTTCCTGGCATGGCACCAGGCACAGGGGAGACGGTGGCAAAGGATACTTGTAGCATGAATGAGCCAATGAGTAAGGTGGCTTCCCAGCAGAGCAAATGTGAATCAGAGGCATTTCCCACTCGGGCCAATCCCCTGCCCGGTGCTGGGAAAGAGCACAGAGATGCCAGGCCCGCTCTACCCATAACTGCAATCCAGGAAAGAGCCCAAGAACCCAGCCCTAGAGTCAGCCAGCCTGGGGTCACACCCCAGCCCTTCCACTCCCTAGCCGGGGCCTTCATTTCCTCGTCTGCAGAATGGGACTGCAATATTACAGGCGGCCGGGGGGATTCAGTCAATGCAGCGATACGAGTAAGGGTCTTCCAAATTTCCTGGAACAGTGAAAGAACTCTTTGTGCCAGAAAGTGTCCTAAGCACCTTATAATATTAATGCGTTTAATATTATGCTTGTGTGCTATAGTGCCTCTGACTGTTTTTTCTTTTTGTTTGATTTGTTGGTTTGGGTCGAGTTGGGTTTTTGCTGTTACTGTTACGGCTACAGAATAAGTTTCTTTTTTTTCCCCTTTTACATATATTTTTTTTATTGGAGTTTGATTTGCCAACATATAGTATAACACCCAGTGCTCATCCCTTCAAGTGCCCCCTTCAGTGCCCATCACCCAGTCACCCTGTCAGAATAAGTTTCTTCTTCTCCCTGAGCCTCAATGTTCTCACCTACAAAATAGAGCAGTGGATTAAGTGGCCTCTGATCCAGTGTTTGCACAGCAGTCGAGTTCTGACTTCCCACCTCTTGATCCTAAGCAGCTGCTGAGACCTTTTTAAGTCCCCGTGTGCAGAAAGGACTCCCATTGCAGGGGCCTGAGCCAGGAGCCCAGCCCCTGTTGTCAGGAGAATACGAGTGTGGCAGGTGCTGGGGACCCACACAGCCATTCTCATCCCCACCTCGGCTTTGTGCTGCCAACTCTGCTCTCACTTTCCCATCCGAGAGAGTCTCAGGAGATCAGAGTTGAAAAGCCAACGCTGCCAATGTCGTCCATTCTTAAGTCGATAAGCATTTGTTGAGTACCAACTGTGTGCCAAGGGCCGTGCAATGCTTTGGGAACAAGGCAGGGAATAACACAGGAAGATTGCTTGCTGCCTTTTATCGCTGGGGTTAGTCTACTGCAGGAAACAGGAAATAAACAGGCAGGCCAAGAAATAAAAAACAAGTAGATTTCAGAAAGAAGAATCATTTATACTCATATATAATGAGTATAAATCAGGTTAATAAGACAGAGTGGCTGGAGGGGAGTCAGGGTGGGCCCTCCGGTGAAGGCGACTTAGGAACCCAGACAGGGGAGGCCTGGATGGCTCAGTGGTTGAGCGTCTGCCTTTGGCTCCTAGTGTAATCCTAGAGTCCCAGGATAGAGTCCCACATCGGGCTCCCTGCATGGAGCCTGCTTCTCCCTCTGCCTATGTCTCTGCCTCTCTCTCTGGGTCTCTCATAAATAAATAAAATCTTTAAAAAAAAAAAAAGGAGCCCAGACAGGAATAGTGACAGGAGCCAACCACAGGGTGAGCTGGGGAGGGGCTGGGGGCATGACCTGTTAAAGGAACAGGTCTGGGTGGCTAGAGTTCAGGAAGCATGGTGGCACCCGGCCACAGAGCTCAGCGACAAGCAGGGCAGATCAGCAAGTCAGCCTGAGCAGCTTGGATTTGCTTGTAGGTATATTTTCTTGCACGTAGGACCTACTACATAATTTGTAGGGCCAAGAGCAAAATGGAAATGAATGGCCCTTTTTCAAACAGCATTAAGAATTTCAAGATGCCAACAGGAGAGCATTAAGCCATGCACAGGGCCCTCCTAAGCATGGGGCCCTGCCCATGGAGCCAACCCTGTCGGAACAAAATTGTCGGCTTTAACAAAGCCTTCTTTAATTTGACAAGTATGTATTGAGGGCTTAAAATAAGCCAGGCCCTGTGCCAGGCTCTGGAAATAACAAAAAAGTGAATGATCACACTGAGAAAGCCCCTCCGACCTTCATTTTTCCATTAGATTTTCTCCACCTCATACCAGGCCAGAGGACGGACCCATCCGCACGTATCTGATGGTGGTCAGCCCCACAGAGGTTGAGGCCATCCACTGGATGGATCTGACTTGATTCCCCTGTAATAAAGGGAGCAGTTACTGTGAGTCCACCATATGCCTAGCACATGCAGAAATCCCACCACCACAACCCACCAACAGGGACCCAGAAAGGGAGATGAAAGCTCAAGATCAGAGAAAAAGATGAGTTTTTCCCAGTTCATGCTGTTACTACCATGGGGATGTGGGATGGGCCTGGGACTAAGACCCAGGAAATCTTGGGAAATCCAGAGGCCCCCACCTCCAAGCATATAAAATCCTTACTCCCATGTCCTGTATAATTGTTCAAAGTAAAGACTGAGGTACTAGCTTCCGGTCTGTTGAGGGAGTACCACATGCTAAGCCCTACAGAAAGCTCTCCACATAGATCTTCTCATTATTTTTCTATAAATACCAGCTTTGCAAATAGAGTCCAATTTCTCCACTTCTGGTGGAGAGACTGAGATTCAGAAAGGTTGAGGAGCTTGTTCAGGGCCTCCTGGCCAGTGTGTGGTGAAGCTGGGGTCCAAGTTGAGCTGCGTGCCCCAGGGCTAGGCCCCTGGCACTGTCCTGCTCCCTCCATCACGGCTAGGGTCCTGCACCATTTTTGCTGCTGTGGAACCCCCAGCCAGGGGGTCCTTTTCTTACTTTCCAAGGTCAGAACTCAGAAGTCCAAGGAGCCCAGACCCAGAGAGAAGGTCTAGGGGTTTGACCTGGTGTCAACATCAGGGCTGAAGATTGCTTCATGCCCACCCCAAGAGGAACAGGAAAGTCTGACTTCTCCCCTTAACCATGGGAAAGAGCTCCTTTTCTAAAAAAAGCAAGGTCGGAACTATGAGTGTGACATGTCAGGCCCTTTCTGCTGCAGATTTTCCCTCTGTCTTGGCCTTCTGGGGCAGTGGAGAGGGCTATCTTGAAAGAGGAAGACTTGCTCACTCTTGGTTTTCTGGCCAAGGATCTGAGGGACTTCCCTAAAGAAAGCTCCCTGCAGAAAGGTTCTGGGGCCACTTGTGGCCTGAAAAGACTCAGTCCCTGCTCTGCAGAGCAACTTCAGCTGGGACCCTCGAGTCAGGATGGGCAGCCACACTTTGGCCCAGAAGAAAGCTCTGGAGAGCGGGACCTGGACCTCCTGAGCCCCCAAACAGAAAGCCAGGTAGCCTATGGAAATGGCTGCACAGGTGCAGGTGGCCCGTGTCAGTCCCAGCTCTGCTCTGGGGTGATGGGGCTCCACTGTCTGGCAGAAAGTATATCTGGGAGAGCCCAGGAGGAGTCCCACACCACCCCTCAATAGCTCTGGGACCCGGGCACGTCCACTAATCCCTTTGGAACTCCTAATCCCTATTTTCCTGAATTAAATGATAGAACCCATATTAAGGAAGAGATAAGAATAAGAGGGAAATATATTTCCTGGTCTCAGGGAAGTTGCAGAAGCAGAAGAGTAACTGAGCGAAATAGTGAGAGTTCACGGGCTCAAGAGTACAATACAGACAGCACCCTGGATTTCAGAACCTGGGGTCAAAGTTTCAAAAAGAAAAAAAATCACATGTCCTTTGATACCACCATTCCTCATTCCCGCCTTCTTCCATTCATTTGTCTTACATCTCTATCGTAAGTCTACATGAGTCCTTGGACCTGAAAGAATGTCTACCTGTCCCTGGAACTATAAAGCCTCCAAAATTCTTAGGTCCCAATCTTTCTTTGAAACCTTGTCAGGGCTCCTCTTTGGAAAGCAAGCAAAGGAGAAATCTCAAGACATTCGATTTTCATATTCTTGATAAGGGGTCGGTTACTTCTCCCTTGATTTTTTTATAGTATAAAAATAAGTTATGATTAGAATTGAAATATTTTGTGTCCAGAACCCTGAAGGCTTTTTCTTTTTTTCTTGGAATGTGAATCTGTCCATTTTGCATACTCAGTAAATTGCTCCGAAAGTATCATGAAAAGCTATCACTTATTAAGCATTTAGAGCCCCGTGTTAAAAAATAATTCATGCAATTCTTACAAAAATCTTTATCATAAAGCAACTACTGAGGGTCATGGCTAAGAACATTGGGTGTGAAGTTAGGCTGAGTTTCCACCCGGACTTAGAGCTTTCTAGCCGAGTGACCTTGGACGTGTTACCTAAGCATTCTGAACCTCGGTTTCTCATCTGAGACATGGGGACAACAAGGGTACCTACCTTGTCGTGGCTGGAAAGGGTATAATAAAATAATAATAAAAAAAACACTGTCTGGCACATTCCAGGGACTCTACAAAAGCTGATTTTTAGT